CAACAAGAAGGATACAGAAATAGTGAATATGGCTTAAGCATTGTGTCTGAAATCTCAAAGAGGATAACACAGATCACAGAATCACATCCCACCTTGAAGAAACCAGTCATTCACATTGAAGGACTAAATGATGCTGCTAAGACGAAGTCAGAAATATTAAAGAGAGATTTTATTAGTCTGCTTAGGACTGCAAAACTATAATTCTAAAGTGTTGCTTAGTGGACCTATAGGAGCTACTTCAACAGGAGATTAAATGTACAGCACATTTTTCTACCTGAATATATGGATCAAATAAGTCTGCTCTGTAAGATCAGTTAGCTTCATTGATAACTTTATTGTCTTCTGGGAAAAGACACCTCTTCAAGAAAGATTGGTTTCACCGAGGTCAGATGCAAAAACTTTGGCTTCCAACATTTTCTATCAGAATATTAGATTATAGACAGATCAATATATGGATGTGCCCTAATTTTCTCACACTGAATAAAAACAAAACTGAGGTAATAATAATCTTTGCGCCGAAGGAGGAGAGATCCAAAGTTAGCACACAGCTCAAGCTACTACAGCTAGAAACCACTGGTTATTCCCAGTGTCATGGTGTCATGATAGATGCACTAAGAAAGTACAACACCTCGACCCGACTCTGAATCCTTACACTGGCTCAGTGTAACTCAGAGAATAGACTTTAACATCTGTGTGTTAGTCTATTAATCACTGAATGGATCAGCACATAAATACATAGCGGTATTGTTGTCAGAGTAACAATCACCTCACTTCTAATTCAACACTACTATGTATCCAGCACTAGAACCAAACATGAAGAAGTAGCATTTAATTCCTATACTCCAATTACCTGAAACAAACTTTCAGTAGACTGTAAAAGTACTGAAACCCTGAGTTCTTCTTTTTATTAAAGTTAAAAACCCATTTGCTCAGAACTTCCTTTTACCGTTAATTTTAAACTGTTATCTGAGGTATCATTAGTTTAAGTTTGTGGTCCAACTGTCTTATTTGCTTCACTACCTGCTTTTAATATGTTTGTATCTTTACTTTCTTTTATTGTTTTTATTTTCCTCCAATTTTATTGAGTACATGCAGTTCAATGCAGTGAGGAACACTCTGATCTTAATATTGGAGAAACCAAACAATCTCTCCGCAGACGTATGGCCCAACACAGAAGAGCGACCTCCTCGGGACAAGACGCTGCGATACATCTACACCTTATGGACAAACAACATTTTTTTGAGGACCAGAATGTTCACATCTTGGACAAAAAAAATAGGTGGTTTAAGAGGCTATTCCAAAGGGGCGGACCCCTTCACCCGTTTCAATTTGCATGTTTTCAAAACAAAAACAAGACTTTGTTGGGCTACTGTATAAAACCGCAAACTCAATGCTATTTCTGATGTTTGAATTAAAAAAACCTTCCAGGATAGTAAGCGAAATGTCTTCAAACTTGGAAACTAAGGCTACATTCACACTGCAGTCTGAAGTGACCCAAATCCGATTTTCTTGGCCCATACAGTATGCGACCTGTATCTGATCTTGTCATGGCTGTCTGAGTTACACAGATCCGATTTTTTCCAGTGTGCCCAAGAACACTTGGCTATGTGGTCCTGAATCCGATATGAATCTGATCTTTTCAAATGCGACCTGTGTCTGAACGGCCAGGTCACATTTGTCCGACCTGAACACCATTAGCACTCGACAAAAGTCACTATTCTGGGTCTTGCTATGAAGAAGCTGCAAGAAAAACAAGAACCATGGCGGACGATAATGCGGAGAGCAATATTTATGTTAAACCATCTCTATAATAACTGTTGTGCAGAAACATAACCGTGTAAGGTTGAGTGGAGGTTTGTAGAGGACCCAAATGCAGAGATAGAAGCTGAGTTGGTTTCTTGCAGATTTAATAAGGAGTGATGGCAACAGAAGCATTTAACCAGAAATAACTAATTAAGGAACACAGGAGCCAAGACAAAGGGGAACATATGGGTTAAGGAGGGAATGAAGAGAAGCCAGCAAACAGTAACGGCAAAGGAGGAGTATATATGCCAAACAGTTCAAAGAATGGAGTAATGAACTAATTGGGAGCAGGAGTGGACAGAAGGATCTAGAAGGGAGCTAGGGGAAAGGGGACTGAGATGAGGAAGGAACAAAACTTAAGCAAGAAATACATAGGAACTCAAATACAACCAGAAAAAACTAGAATGACGGGCACGGAGGCCTTAGTCCTCGACGTGGCCGACCCGGCTTCAAATCTGATCTGTGGTCCTTTGATAGAGGGAGGAAATCAACTCTGTTGCTGCATTGTAAGTTTGTGAAAGTTCAAAACCTCACTCCCTCTGTTTAAGGTTGTTTTTTCTTTCGAGTTTTTGCGGCACAAGTGCCTCATTTTTTCAACAGCAGGCTGACAAGAAAGGGGGTAGGAGAGAAGGGGAGAGACATGCGGCAAAGGACCACAGGTTGGATTCGAACCCGTGTCGGCCGCGTCGAGGACTAGGCCCCCGTATATGGGTTGTGCACGCTAAGCACTGCACCACCTGCACCGGCTTCCTTTACACCCCTTTCAAGCCACATGTATTCTTTGTCCACAATGTGAACATTTTGGTCCTCAAAAGAATGTTCTTTGTCCATAAGGTGTAGATGGGCCGCAGCGTCTTGTCCGGAGGAGGTAGCCCATCTGTGTTAAGCCATGCGTCTGTGGAGAGCTTGTTTGGTTTCTCCAATATAAAGACCAGAGTATTCCTCACTGCACTGAACTGCATACACCACGCCGCTCATATTTAGTCTGGGTGTTTTGTCTTTAGGACGCACTAGTCTCTGTTTAAGGGTCTTGTTTGGTTTGAAATGTACTGGGATTTTGTTTTTTTGGAGAAGATCCTCTTAAATTTTTCAGAGACTGCAGCAACGTATGGGATGACGATGTTTTTTGCATTTAAAATTTTCTCAGCGTTATGTTCTGCGTGTCTCTTGGATTTCCTTGCTAATTTGCCAAACCCCCAGTTTGGGTATCCACAGGTTTGGAGAGCATCTTTGATGTGTTTCTGTTTCCCTTCTGTTTTTGTAAGGTCGTGCTCAGCCCGGTGTTGTAAGGTTCTGATGACAGAAAGTTTGTGTTTCCTTTAGTTCCATCTGGGGTTTTACCTTTGTTTGTTTGGTTATTTGTTTTTTGATTTTTTTTTGTCCTATAAAACAGTGCAGAAGAAAAACAACTGTAAACCTTACATTTAAATTTGCCTGCTTACATTCATCACATTGTATAACTGTTATTTTTCTTTGTTCATCTGCAAGAATATTATGATTACAGTTACCTTATTCACCTCAATCTCTTTTTAAATTTCTTAATTATGCAAATTACAATTTGAATAAAGGAAACAAAAAGGAACAACTTACAAGTGTTACAGCTGAAAAAGCTTTTCATTGTTGTCATTTTACAGCTTTTACCACTATTTCTCTTGCCTGTATGTTTTGCTGCCTGTTATTCTTCATCCAGTTCAGTTCTTATGTGCAATGCACCAATATTTGCATTTGTTTCCAAGTATCACCTCTCTTAAACACAGTGTTTTCCACCATGGTCTAGCAACTGTTTCCTTTAGGAATATGCTGTGCGACAGTAAAACATTTATGAGATAATGTGATGTAAATCTGCTAACTTAAGCATTACATGCATCTTTTCACTATATTCAGTGTTTCTATGCTGTGATTATTTGTTAATACACAGTAATGTTGACTATTGATGTAAGACTTGCTTTAGCCCCTTTTATTATATAAGTAAACAATTTTTCCCAAAAGATTTTAAATGAGCAGTTGCATCTTACTGACGTAGGAAAACACCTGTATTGTGCTGCAGTCTGCTTAGAAGCATTGTGGTGAGAAAACTGTGGTGGCCCTGCATAATCTATTTTAGGCCCTTCTTATATATGAACACAGACTTAAAGTAGGGGCCCTTTACAGAGGTGTGTCTGAGGCCCCAAAATGGCTATGACCAGTACTGACCTCAAATAGGTCATTAGTATTTGTTTCTTTTTTCTTTGCATGACTGATATTGAGGGATTTCTTCTTTCAACATTTTTTTCCATCTTGTCATACTTTATCATGACATCTCTAGTGGGTGTAGATGACAAAAGATTGATGTGTATTAAACATTGCATCCCTCAGAGAATTGCTTTGTTTTTCACCTCAGGTCTGTCTTAAGCCTGCCACACAGGCTGTCAGATTGAAGTCAACTGAGACTTAGCAATGACTGCCTTTCTTGGCCATATAGGGATGTAAGGGACCAGTCCACTTCAACCCCCCTTCTTCTACAAAGACAAATAGAGATGGTAACATAGTGTTTTGTGAAATACTGTACTGATTCCACGTGTTTCATATATTGTGAATCTCCTCCACACTGTTGAAAGGGAATTGTTTCATAATCTTCTAACAAGTGTGGTCAGCCCTGTTCCCTGCTTACCCCTTTCTGCCAAATGTTGGACTACACTTCTACATTTCTAGCTTCTAAAGTGGTGGCTTGGCCCCCTCAACATTAGACCCCAGATTTGGCCTTGAGAGAGATTTGACCATGATATATTTTTAAATAATAAAATGCCTTTTATATTTATCAAAACGAAAAATTATTGGAATAACCCTACATCAAATGAGATGGTGTTTTACTTTTTGATATTATTCTCATCCTGAAGCTACTATGATGTAGTTTAACCATTAATGTTCTCCATTAAAGTATTCCAGAGGTAAAGATGAATGTGCATGTACCATTGCCACGTACTAACGAGGTCCCTCATTCTCTGTTTGATAACTTTTCCCTGTTTTACGCACGGGGAGCGCACAGAGAAGAGAAAAGAATCCCTTCTTCCCAGGTTTGTGCGCGCCTTCCTCACCCTCAGTGGGTAACTCCAGTGCCCTGCCAACCCCCCTTTTCACCCCCCCATTTCCCCTCTCTGCGCCGTTCCGCCAAAGGACCCGGCGTTACGTCAGAAAGTGCACAACACAAGCAAGGCAGAGTCTGCGGAGCTATTCGTAGACATTGCTGCCAACCGCGGCTCGGGGCTGCCTGCGAGCTCAACGCAGCCGGTGCAATATTCAAACACAAGCCTTATAAAGTAGCGACAGAATGTGGTAAGTCATTTGTTGATGAATGCTTTTTAGTTTGCTTGCTGGGATTTATTTGTCTCACAGCTTTTTTTCACGTGACAGGTCACAGTTGCTGGCACAATTACGCGTAAAACTAACAAGGAGAGTGAGCGGCGTGCAGATGGGGAGTAGACTGGTTTAAAAAGACAAAAATGACATGATGATGATGATGCAGCTGAGTTATTGACGCACGGATGCTTTTTTCTTTTTTTCAACTTTGATTTGTTGTTGAGCTGAATAACAAACAACATGCCCCACGCTCGAAATAGGAACCCAAGCCCCATCCCGGAGGTAACATGGGACACGGGACTCAAAGAGATGAACGAGACCTGGAAAGGGGCTATTGCTTGTCTGGGGGTAGCTGTCTTCTTCGTAATGACCATCGGGATCATTTACTGGCAAGTGGTGGACCAGCCCAACAAGAACTGGATCCTCAGGGGGACTTTCAGTGGACTCATCTGGGAGAGGAGAACCCACTCTCTGGTCATACAGACTCTGACCGAGGACAGGACCTACGTGGAGATAGACGTGGGAAACGTAGGGAATCCCGACATCGAGGTCCCATTCGTGAGGAACCTGTGCTGGTTGAACAAAACCGAGTTCTGCTACACATGGGACTCGGTGGCCGAGGTGAAGATCTCGCTGGAGGTTAACGAGGATGCAGAGACTGAGTGTTACAGCATGGCCTGGACGCCGGTGCACTGTCATGTGGAGCTGAAGGTAGGCGCGCGCACCGGTCAGACAGTCCGCGCTAGAAACCTCATTGCGCACAGCATAGGTGAATGAAAAGCAACAAACTTTATTATTGTACGCATTGAAATTACATTCAATGAACTGATTATTTGCTGTGCAAACCCAAACCATTGTCCCGAAATAAATTTGGGAGACCATACCATATCATATTCCGAGTTTATATCTATGTAGATAATTTATATATATTGGATATGAAATATTAACTATAACCCTTTATAGGGTACTCAGTGAAATACTTTGGAAATCAAAACATCAAGCCAATAGTGTTATTGGAATTCAGTATAAGACCTTATTACCTAAATAAAAAATATTTGTATATTTTGATGGTAAAAATGAATGTCAATGTAATAACAAGAAACGCCAACTTGCCCGAATACATTAAGAAAAATAACAAAAGTGTTTCTACAAGAAATTAATGAAAAACACTCTGAGAGTGATAGAAACACTTTTTTCTTTTTGGTCTAACATAACCTTAGAGACATTAATGCTGATACTGGTGCTTATTTTTTTTGTTTTGATTATAAACCTAAATATAATAGTTAACTAGGCTTATTATTTTTTTAACTTTACTTTTTTAACGTTTTACCTTTTTTCCAAACTTAATTTACAGTAGGTAATATATCATTCAAGGGTTTATCTAATTGTTCGAATGCCAAAATAAGATGTACAGCCATGTAGCAGCATCTTTGCTGGATGGCTGGATATAGATCTAGTGCTTCTAGACCTCACTGAGGGACGTGGGGACTCTATTTGTAAGGCTTATGCAGGTGATCAAAAACGGTAACTTGCACTATAAAGGGTTAATCTTTTCAAAATCTGGGTTTTTGATTAATTATATATCTTCAGTTTAATTATTATGATCATTTACCTGGCATGGTCACACAATCCTTTGTGGCAAAATGCATCTTTCCTCAAATTTTGGGAATAATTATAAAGATAATGCAAATGTATATTAAAAAAAAAGAACGAAGCTATTTAAAAGACTTGAACTGAAAAAGCAAAAGTTATCATGCATTAGTTTATGTTACGGCAGGAGAAAAACACCAACAACAAATGGGTAATGCAGGAAGGATACTTCCAGGAGAAACCACCCTGCTAATTTGGCTTTGTGTTTGTGTGGGCTGATCGCAAGAAACACAACAATCAAACCCATGAGTTGCATTTACACACAAAAAAAAGAATGCAACCATTTTTGGCATTTACTTAATCATATTTAGTTACTTTAACATTTTTTTTTCATGTTAGCAGGGTAGGACATAAAACAATTGCATTAAAGTACCTAAATATGATTAAGTAAATACCAAAAACGGTTGCATTCTTTTCAGCATATAACATGCGACAGAAATAGCATGATTTTCAAAGGAATTGTTAGAGCTTTAAGACTCATCTTAGCTGCAAAGTTTTCAGTTAAAAATGAGTCAAAGGGTTGCAAATCATAGCAAGGCCACCAGAAACCTTGGTTTGACTTAATGCAACATCTTCATGCAACACGTTTGATCAAACCATATACTCTTTTGGTAATAAACACTTATATTCTTCTGTGGTGATATCAAATTAGATATTTACGAGGGGAAAAAGCAAATATAGATGAAATGGAAAAATCAAACAATAAGATAACAAAGAGAACTCTGATCGATATTCTGATGCTTTATGTGGTGTCACCAGAGTTATATGTGTATGGAAGCTTTTTTTTGTGATAGTAGATATTACCTTTCAGCAAACTAATATTTACAATAAGAAGAGCTGACTAAAAGTAGTATGGGATTACACCTTTAATTTTAACCAGTTTAACATTAGCTGGTGCTCTGATCAAACTTGCCAGAAAGCTGATCTTTAGTATACATCAATGACAGATATTTTTTTTTATTATTGTTTTTGTACTGTTTTTCATTCATGTTCACTGTACAGTAACTTGTCCATTCAAACTGTTGGTCTGAAATTTCAGAAGCACTTATTTATTGTGATATTTAGTGAGGTTAATCCATCTCCAGTGGAACATTCCTCATCATGTAACTCTCCCTCATGTTGTGTGACTGTTCCTGACAAATCTGTCTGTGTCCATGTCGCCTTTGTTGTCCTCATTTTCTCGAAATCCTGCCCTCTTAGTTGATTGGTTGGGCATGGATCCCAGCTTCACTGACATGTTTGTGCATTTAGTGAAAAGTCTTTCTTTTGGAAAACCCTATTTATTCAATCGCTTCTTAGATGTCCGATGAACAAGTATAACGTGACTCTTTGTGTCAGTCAGTTTTACAGTGAGGTTTTAGTTCATTTGAGTGGTAAAACATGAAGCTGACACTAAGTAAGACTAGACGGGATGTAACATAGATTTATTTCTATCCATTTTTGTGGTCTAATTTAAATAAAGTCTCACACTGCAACGGCCTACATTTGTTTCAGCATAAAATCTTTAGTAATAAAGACGCCTTAATTTACATATGTTGACAATAAGACCATGGAATCCTTTTTAATGCTCGCTATTTTTTTATGTCTTTTTTCATTATTTTTTTTTACTTGTATGAGTATTGGGATCTAATCCCACCAAAGTCTGATTGCTTCAGTATTTAAGTGCCTTTGCACTTATCATCGATCAGGTGAAAAGTAGACAATTTTTTCATTTCTGTTTACAAAGTCTTTTTTTTATTTTTATAAATCTCTGTGCAAACCAATCTAATAGAAAACACTAAAAACTGTGACATTTCCTGTTTATCTGGTAAAAACATAGAAAAGAATTTCAGTTTTCACCAACAGATATCAAGCACATAAAAAAAAGAAAAAAAAAAGAAAATGTTATTAGATTATGAACTGGATATGATTCTAACTTTGCCACAGACCACGAAGCTCTTCATAAAACTCTGATTTATGGAAGAACTGATAACTTTTTCAGTGTCGCTAATGAAATGCTGCCAATGGCAATGAGTCGCCTAACATTCACTGATTATTTGTATTGTTGAACTTCCCATTTAGCACCTTTATCTATTAATCTAGAGTACTTCTGTTGCATTCAGTCTGTGCTTGATTGTGTTTGTGTACATTTTGCATTCTTTAAGGACTGCTTCTCCATGGCCAATGTCTCCTGGTACGGCGGTGCAAGTGTCCAGGGTCAGACCTGGCCAATTAATGATCAGAACATCACAATGCAGCCATACGTGGTCAGCGATCTGAGGGACACACCATCTGGATACGGCTCTCCCCTGGAACGCTTCTTTCTTGGTTCATCGGGTAAGGTGCCATTGTTTGGATTTGAAACATGCTCTTCATACACACACACCAATGAACACATAAGAACAGATAGGTCTTTTCTAATGCGTAACACGACACAGGGTCAGCTGTTTCTGCACACCTCTCACAAGGATTGTGGAAATCTGACACTGTCCCAGTGGGTCTGCAATCCCAGGGTGTGAGGGAAACCCACTGTTGAGTTGATTTGTTTTCATGCATCTCAAATCCCTTATGTTTTTGTTTTTTTGACTGCATATAAATCCAAACCTCTTAAGGCAGCACAAACAAAACACAATGCTGATTTGGTACGTTGTCTGACCCAGAAATAGAGTGTGGCATAATCCTGTCTGTGGCATTTCGCTCCATTAATTTTAGGATTAGATCACAAAGGGAAACAAACCACCTTTATCATCTTAAATTGACTCTCAGGGATCCAGGCGTAATTGCCTTTTGTCTCTATTAAAAGGACCGTTTTGGAAGAGAGCCCTGCCGACTTGTTTAACTCCATGGGTTATTTTTGGGGGGTGTTAGATTTTTTCCAGGGGGCAAAGCGGGAACCACTAGCGGATGTGAATGGTTAATGTGACTGATGAGGAATGTGTACAGTGCATGTGTACATGTGCTTGTGTGGCAAAGTACAGCATTAGCCTGTGGAACTTAATACTTAGAAGTTGTCCTAATCTGGTGTTTAGCCTTTGAGCAGCTTCTTAAACAAAATGAATTTTGTTCTCAAATATTTTAGACTGAATTACATTGTTATTCTGTGACGCAAAACAGTGATGAACATGGTCTGATACTGATTTTTTTTCTATGGTTTTTCACATAGATTTCCATTTTTTAATGGCTTGTGACAAACCAATTATTATTAGTGTCTCCTGGAAAACCTTTTTCAATTTTTTTTTCACATTAACAAAGATATCATGGACAAAAGTAACAGAAAACAACTAATTCATCACATCAAATTAAAACTCGATAGTGCCAAAGGCATTATTTCATCAGATAAATACATACTTATTAGTTGACTTAAAAGGCTTAAAGGTACACTATGCAACCGGTGTTGATTTTCCGGTGAGGCTCCCTCCAGAAGGTGAAAGTAAA